ACATACACACATACACACATGCATGCATGCATGCATGCATGCATGCATGCATGCATGCATGCATACATACATACATGATACATACGGACAAAGGTACTTCTTTTGCGCCCGGTTTCGCGGATTGTGTGGTGTCAGCGGAAATTTCGTAGCTGCTTAGAATCTGAGGGAATCTGGAGTTGCGCTGGCCCGGCGCACGCACGACGCACCCTCACACACACACACACACAACACACACGCGCACACACATGCACACACACACACACACACCCCGAAACACACGTTACAGAGACACAAAGAACGACCAGCATTCATCAATCGATTCTTATGAAGCATCCCATCTGTTTCTAACGGCTACTACTAAGACTTGTTGGCCTGTTTTCTCGCGCCTCACGTAGTTGTCTACGTTCGTCAAAGCTTGGCTCAACAAACCAAAAGTGCTTCTGAGCAGCCGCTGCAGTTCGTAGATCTCAAATTTAATGCTTAGCCCACCATGAAGTCTCAAACTGAAGGCCTGCAGAGGCGGCGCTGCTGCCGCTTTCCAGATTCAGTGGCCCAGTGCCTCAACCAGATGCACAGACTGAAGTCATGGATCGACCAAGATCTAACACACGAATCAAAACACGTCGAAGGGTCCGGCCTGTCGGCGCTTGGTAGATAATGGGTCGCGCATCGAGCTTCTTCTGGAAGTTCCTGGAGGCTTGTGGCCAAACGATGCTTCGCAGGCAGCGAATCGCACTAGCAAACAGTCAACAGCTTCAGAATCCTGCAGCGTTTCTCCAGGTAGTTGATGCGGTCCCACAGCTGGGCGACCTGCACATGTCATCCTCTGCTCCGCTTTACGTCGCTGGCAGCAGTTGTGAGCTTGAAATGTTCTTCCGAGATTGAAACATGCGTCAGAATTAGAACGGTTGCAAGGGTCAGGACCCACAGGAAGCTAGCCTTGGAAATTAAGGCCCCCGCAACATGTGAGGCTGACACTAGAATTGGAAATCACAACACAAAGCTGTGAGCGCAACCTGCGCCCAACAGTGGCCCCACAGGTTCTCCAGCCGTTCTCGCGCCTCCTCATGACCGGCCGTTTCAGGAGCTCCGGCACCCTTGGGCAGCCGACCCGACCTTGCGATTGAATGCAGGCAACTTCAAAGTTGTTTGCCGCATTGGTGACTGGTGTAATATGGTGTAATGTAGTTTCAACCCCTCCGGGCTGCGGGCCCTAGCACTGAAGTGGATTCCAGCTGCTCCAGGAGACTGTCCGTGACCTCGGCGGCAACACGCACAACTGCCCCAACACCTTCCCATCGGTGCGACGATAACTCCTGTAATCAGACTCCCAACAAGCCTTGCTAGTGTTCTCGGCTGCAGACATCCCCGACGACCTGCTCCTGTGGAAGACTATTGCTACCAGTGGCAATGCGAAGGAGCTGTCTGGCAAAGGCTATGATTTCATGGAGACTGAGAGCCAGCTCTTCTATGGAACTTGACAAGTCAAATAAATTTGGCCACCCGATGCAGGCACCAGCCTCTGGCTTTGTGGTGGAGTTGTGGTCTGCTGGAGTCGCCGACGGCGAATCTACCTGACAAGAAAACTTCTAGCCAGAATCACAACAGTAAGTCGCAGGCTAACACTTACACGAAAAACCACGGACCGTCACACGACTTTCTGATCAGCAGCTATGCTGCGGCCGCTGCCTTCCCATCCGGTTCATTGTCCTCTTCTTCCAAGAGAGCCTCAGGGCTCACTTCGGTAGACAGGTTGACAATCCCCAAGCTTGTCCTCGGTCTTCCGCTGTGCGAGTCTGTGCCTCCCTGCACGCCATTCGCCAGCTGAGCTTTTTCGTTGCGGCGTCGAGGACGACCTGCACCAGTCATTGTCACACCAGCAAGCATCGTTTCTCGCTCCTCCTTACGACAATCTTGCAAGGTGCCCTTGTCCACCAATACCTGGGCCTTGACAGACCTAGACTAAGATTCGCACAGGGCCCGCTGGATCGTCGGCGTTGCATCTGCCAACCTTCCATGCTGATGCACCCACTCACTGCCCGAAAAGTGCTCAGCCTCACCTGTCCGTCTAACAGGGCAAAATGCCGAACAACGTCGTGTGCGAGGCTTTGCAAAACATCTGCTCAGCGAGACTTCGGTCCCGTGCGAGCTACTTATATTGCGCAATCAGCATGTCAAGATAGCTGCAAAGACAAGCGGTCAGACGGGACTGCCGGGCTCATCGTCATCATCAGAGTCGTCACCACCACCACCACCATCATCATCGTCATTGTCATCATCATCGTCGGCGTCATCGTCGCTGTCACCGTCGACATCGACGTCGTGATGTCGTCGTCGTCGTCGTCATCGCCATCGTCACCACTCTTAGCATCATGATCACCATCAACGTCGCTCTTCAACCAGAAATAGCAGCGACGATTCTTTCTGTCCACAACGGCTGCTTGCTTTTCGGTCGACCCCACGTGGCCTGCGAAGCTCGGCCAACTCTGCTTCTGCCTGCCCCAAGACTCCAAGACCGTGACAACAAAGCTGCCGTGACAGAGAGAGGCAAAAGGCATCCTCTTCCAGCGGAGCAGCTGTTGTGGATGCCTGTTGACTCTGCTCAGCCATACTCTGCTGCAGCGCCCGGATCAGCTGCTTGTGACCTCTCTTGCCGAGAAAAGCAGACAAACTCAGTCACAGGGTTGTTTGCATACGGAAAATTCGGAACCTCTCCACATCTCTGTCAGTTGCTCTTCGCTTTGCTCGGCAGCGAAACTAGTACCGCTGCCGCCCAAGAAAACGGATTCTCAACACCGAGCTCAGCGACTTTCACAGCTGGCTGTTGCGTCTGCTGCCTGCTCAGACAGCTGTTGGCGAGCCTGTCGGGTGATATGTTGCGGTCATCCAAGTCACAGTGCACAGCAACTTCACAGATCAGCATGGCTGTTTGCGGACGTGTGGCCCCCTCCGGAAAAATCAGAGACCCTGAAAAAGACCGTTCGACGGAAGCCCTAGCCCTAGCGAATGCTTTCATCGTCCCGTCAGAGCTCGGCGCCTCTTTGAGCTCAGCCAACTCTGAGGATCGCCTTGGGCTGAAAGTGGCTTTACATCAACACATACACACGATCTGTCTGCACAGATACACACATGTCTGTGCAGGTATGTGTATAGCATAAACACATACATGCAAACAAACAAACAAACAAACAAAGCCGCATAGCATTTCTACATACACACCAGCAAGGGGTCGAAAGTGTTGACACATCGACTGGCGCCAATACCTCACCAGAGGGCGTGTCAGCATAAATATTTTTCAAGAACAGAAAATCTGCAACACAGAGAAGTTTACCTAAAACCGAAATCCGAAGCCTAACCCAGAATCCTACAACCCAGAAGCTTATCCCAAACGGTTAAACCTCAAAACAGCGAATGCCGGCCTGCGGTTTGTTTGCCGAAAACGAAAAGAAGTTCAACAACTTCGCACAGGGCTCGGGAAACCGTGCACCGTGCACAGGAAGGGTAAAACAGGAACCCTGATCCCCAAGCCCGCAAAAACCTTACGCACAGCCTTTGCTACCTCTTTGCCGCTGCGCTGATATTGAAGCATTCTCACATGTAAGTTTCTAAACCCTCCAACTCTAAGTCCGTTTCCCGCTGAGAGCGTCCGCGGTTCAGCTCTCAGGGTATGTTTAGGGAGACAGGGTGGCAACGTTTCAACGCCATACCTCAGCCCGGCAGCTACAAGTTAGCCTTACAGCGGCGACGAGCAAATTCCAGTTAGAAAGCCACCACACCTATTCACAGGAAGTGGGCAAGTCTTCAACATGCTTGTGCCCATTTAATCACGTCGGGCGTACCTGCATCATGATATCGGCAAAACGAGCCGACAACAAGCCAGCAGAAGGTTTTCGTGATTCTCGGTGCGAACAACTGACAAACCAGAGCCCTGTGAAATCGGCACAAAACATCAAAAACTACACGCGATCATTCAGACATGGCACAAGAAAAGCAGACAACTAGGAACAGCTTAAGGTTTTAGGGTATCACCTTTCGTCACCTCTCGAACACTTCAGCTCATCCGATCATCGGTCAAGCCCTCAACCTGAAACCCTAACAACCCCGATTCGCACCCTGCTTGTGCACACCCGGATTCGCGCAGGACGATTCGTGCACTCGGAGCATGTGTGCACCCCAGATTCCCGCCCATGGGCCCGGATTCGGGCCTAGGGATTCGCCCTGACCGCATGGATTCGCCCACCGACACGATTTTGCACTAGCGCTTCGCACACATCCGCTTGTGAGACCGGCCGGCTGAACGAAACTCGCAGAGGTCCGGGAACGGCTATGGGTAGATCTTTTCACAAAAACTTAATTCAGCCCAATTAGGAAACAAAACCCTATGACACCATATAAACCCCGTCAAGTGGGCGAAATTCTCGTAGATCGGGCAAGTATATTTTATAAAGCTAGCTTCACCCCTATCCAGCCGCAGAAGACCCCATAAATGGAAACCGGAAACTTTCACGGATTGTCAACTATTTTGGGGACTGGTGTTGGGAAATCCAGACCAAATGTTGAGATACCGAACCCTAAACCCTAAAACTCGAAAATCTTGACGCCCGAACCTCAAAACCCAAAACCTCTAAGCCTCAATCCGGAAACCAAAACCATAAAACCCTAAAGCCTAAAAAGCCCTATAGCCCTAAAACCCAAACCCTCAAGTGGCGCTACGTGCCGGACCTGGATCCCTAAATCCCAACATCCGAGACCCCTAAACCCGAACATCTGCAAGCTTCAGACCCGAAATCCTACCCAACCACATGTTGTGAATCGGCTGGGCTCAAGCCGTGCGTGCCTGAATCTGGCTTGGTGCTTGACTCGGCGGCCCAATGCTCGAATCGCGCTTCTGCAAAGATCCGCATCAATCCTCAGCCCTGAACCCTCAGCTCGAAAGCCCGTAACCGCAAATCGCCAGCTCGGTTGGGAGTGCTTCAAGGAGGGGCAAAGGAAGGCTAACCAAGCCCATTAAGCATATCTGGGTCCATTCCAGAACTGCACCGGTTGCGAATGAAGATATCGTGAATTGAAATCTGACGCAAAGCGTGAGTAGACAACACGAGAACCCAGAGATACCCAGAGCCCACTCGCCTGCTTGGAGCTGAGTGCCCCCGCGAGAAGTCTTGAGCCTCGGAAGCCTCCAATCGAGAACGCGCCTCGCAGGCCTCCAACGACAGTTCTGAGTCGACAACACCCTTTGGCAAGGGCGGCAAAGCAAGGGGAAAAGGAGGAAGGGCAAATGTCAAAGCGCAGTGTGCTTGCAGCAGTTCGCCTCACCCTCCCTGCGACATTTTCCGGCAGTCAAGCCCGTGCCTCCAGTTGCAGCGTTTGGGCCAGCTTGCCAGCTTCCGCCGCCTCACACAGATTTTCCCAGATGTTGTGGCTCGTGACCAAGGCATATCATCAGTGCTTGTGCGGTGCTTCGGGGGGCAGCTAGGAAGCTCGAGAGCGAGCCCAGGCGTTTTGATGGCGAACTGCAAAGACGCAGAAGTGATGGCCAGGTCCAGGGCCTCCTCTGAAGCCTCTTCGGCTTTGCGCTGGGCTGCAAGCAGCGCATCTTGGTGCTCGACCTGGAGGGACGAAGCTGACTGCCACTTGCTGCAGCTCACTCTCACATCAGCCTCATGGTCAAAGCTCCCGCGTCGGCACTGCTGTAGTTCATCCTCCAGGCAACACCCGTGTCTCGACGTGAGGGTGGCGAAGCTGGGGGCGAAAGCTCTGGCCATCTGTGTTACGAGGCTCAGCACTTCCTGCTGCTCATGTTCCGCACGCAGGCCTGCAACGACTGCACTCGCTGTTCCAAGACGGACCGTTCTTCCCGCCATTCCTGCGAAGAGGGCATGCCAGCAAGCGATGTAACAAGCCTGGTGTGTCGGCGTAAGTTGCCAGTTGAACACCAAGGCATGCGTGGTTGTCAAGCAGATGGCTTCCGTCAGCATGTCAATGACACGACCCATCACGTACCCACTAGCACACCAGACAGCGCAAAGCTACAGTTTCGAGCTTTTAGCTTGCCAGGCCGTCGGGTTTGCAGCTGAAGTCTCGTCATTGCTTCAGCTGGAGAATGCTGTACCTGGCCATGTCGTGGACAAAATGCTGTCAATCCAATGTCTAACATGTACACTAGTTCGCGAGTCTCAGAATGCAACGTCCGTTGAAGTCTTGCGCCCTCTGATATGGAACCCACCCTCTAGTTGGCTGAGCTTCGTGGTAGAACCTTCCAGATCCTCGGCCGTCCTGAAGCTTCTCCATCCAACGCCCCTCGCTTCAGTGCGGAGCAGAAATCTCGTTTCTTTGCCCCACCTCCCCCAACATCCCCCAACCCGCCCCATGCTTTCTTTTCCCAAGCCATTTCTAGGGCGTTGCAACCATGCAAGATTGGGACGGGGCTTCTCCCCAAGGCAGTAGCCCAAAACATCGGCTCTGAGGCCCCGTCACAGTAAAGGAACCGATATTTCCCAAGGTTGCCAGCAGCATCACATGTCCCCAAACCTGGGCTGTGCAAGGACGTCCGAGACTGACGCATATAGACTCACAGTTTGGAATTGCGGTGCTGGCGACCCCTTCCGGAAGCTTCTCAAGGCCGACGGCCAAAGATATGACGATAGCGGTAGCCTGATCATCAAGGATGCCTCTTCCAAGTAAATGGGCGACATCGTATCGCTGAAAGCGCCTTGTTGAAATTGCCAGCGAAAGTGGTATACGTCGCCGACATGGAGTGCACCAAGGAGTACTGCGTCACGTTGTACCATGCAGCAAAGACACCCAGCAACATCCTGACAAAGAGCAGACGAGCTCTCGAACTGCGAGGATTCAGCCCCCCCTTTCCGGTGACATGTGGCGATGCTTTGCTATGCTGTTATGACATGAGCTACTTACTTCTATCTCGGGGACAAGCATCGCTAAACCAAGCACCCCGGGAGCCAGGTCGTAGACCTTGCAGTGTACCTGACGTGGGAGGCATGCCGAAAGACAGCATCGCAGGTGCTGCCAGCGCAGAAAACACCAGTATCATTGGGGCTCGCAGTCGAACAGTTTGCGACATGCTCTCATGGTGCCCATGCTGCCCATCAAGCTCTGCGCCTCGAAATCAGTCATCGATGGCTGACCCGGCCAGCTGGGATGTGACAGTATGAAGCTGGGAAACAACCTGCAGCAAGTTGGTAGATTGCTAAATGTTTGTCGAAAGTCGTCCGGAGTTCATGCTCAGATGCAACGTGACTTCGGGATCATAGAACTAATCGGTATCGAACCAGACATGTCCACTGATCAAATCCACCTGCCAAGAAGACATCCACAGGCAAAGCCGAACAATCCACGTGATGCTTGTGAAACCTGGAAAACATGAACAGATATTGCAGCTCGGAGTAGAGATTCTCGGTTCGGGAGGTGGGGCAGGGACGGCGGGATGGTGCCGCCCCCCGTTCTCCTTTGTGAGACTTTCGCCCACCATTACTCCTAAATCTTTCGAACAAGTACTTGACAACAAGAACTCATGCTTTCGTCGCCACTACTGCAGAGATGATTAAGTTGCTCACTCTAACTCTCGAGTTCTCCTCGGGGCACTACTCTCTGACGTGCTCTAGTTTGCGTGATGGCCTGGATTGAAGATGCTCGGAAAGACTCTCAGAGCAGCTCTCATGTAGAAGAGATGTCGATCCAACACAGCCTTTCTTCAAGCGAAGAAAGGTGATGTTTGGACAGTCGTCCAGGCAACACAGGACCACGGGTCAGGCCTCTCAACCGGAGAAAACCGATTGAGCCATCGAGGATCCCAATTAACCCTCGCATTAATTCCTTCCGTGCAAAGCGTGAAGGTCCCTCACAAAGGGAGATAGAGAGAGGTACGTAGGCTGACTGGTCCAGGTTGCCCGCACCTGTGCAACTTCAATTCCTTTCAACCGCTTCAGGCTTCAGGCCAGGAAACAGCATCAGCGCTGAGGGCAGCCCCATGTAGAACGTCATATCCTGTTTTTCTGATCTCGCTTTGGACATCACAGCTCCCTGCTTCACGTCACACTGGAGTCCGACAGCGTTGCAGTCCAAGAGTCTAGCGAACTTAGCTGCATGGATGATCCCAACTCGCAGGCCAGGACCATGTTCAGAGCCCCGGCAAAGATGGAGACGACGCAGACAAGCACCTTGACACTGCGTGCGGGGATGTGAGACGCGTCTTTGAAAGGCGCACCTTGTTGAGCATCGGCTGTGCTGCTGCGTCTGTTTTCTTGACGAACAACACAGCAAAGCTGATCTGCTCCGTCCGCACGGTAGACAGAATCCCACCGGACTTCGACATTGCGGCAAGGACCTTGCCTCTACAACCAGCACTTCGGCCAGCAAGCATCACGGGACAGCAACCAGGACAGAAAGTATTCACAAATCCCTTTGCCAAGGGCCTCGCTCCTGTCAGGATTGCATCTGAGTTCGCGGTGCTGCCCCTCTGCGCCTTTCAAAGATCTTCGCAAGTTCCACCCAAGAGCGCTACCGCAACATTGAGTCGTGCAGAAGCAGCATCCCCAAAATTATCTGAGACTTGTCATGTCTTGCCTGTGACTGCGCAAGTGTGGCGAGAGCTGCGCAGGCCACCCCAGCCAGCATGCAGAGAATTTCCTTTGATGCTTGTCCATACGAAAGAAGGCCCTTGTCTGACTACGACAACTATCCGGGCTTAGTCGCAAGTCCCTTGTTCCAAGCAAGGTTCCTGTTTGTGTTGCAAAGCTCCTGCACACGGCAAACTGAGGCACACAAGCCAAGCCGGGTTCTTCATGCAAACCGCGATTGAAAAGATGAAATCACGAACCTCGCCTTTGGCCGCAATTTTGGCTGGATGTGCAAGCACTTGCACAATAGCAGTGGCAATGGGGAGGCAGGATCGGATTATCAAGTTCATGGACAGCGGCAGGAACCTTCGAGCGTGTCGCAAAAGTCTGGTCTGCAGAGACGGCCTTTCCGCCGTGTTCTGTGATCTAAGACACGAACTGAAAGCTGAAGTTGTTGAGTCCTTGGCTCTCAGATTCAGACAGCTTGATTTTCTGTGACATGCCTTTCAGAAGCCTCAGACGGCCCATGCTGACCTATGCTGACCTGCAGTGAGAGAAGGAGACAAAAAACAGGAAGAGAGCGCGGGAGAGGAATATATATATATATATATATACACACACACATGTGTATATGTATATACACATATGGTGTATATATATATATATATGACACATGTCCATTTACCTATACCTAGAAACACTGACACACACTCGCTTACATACCGGCTCACACACGCGATGGGCCTGTGAAGGTCTACGAGGCATGCCGCCCGGCCGTCATCCAAGGGACACACCGATTGATCAGGCGGATAACTCAACACGTGACATCTTCACGACTCCCTTGAGCACAATGCATCTTGGAACTATTGCTTTCAGCGTCCAATGTTCGCGGCAAACGCTGCGGAGAACAGCAGTATTCGGTAGACGTCGCTCAGCTTGGTCAGCGGCTTTGGTCGGTACGGCCTTCAGAACTGCAGACGTGAACCAGATCTGCATGAGCATGATTTGTTCAACATCCTCTGGCAATGACAAGGCTGTAATTTTGTTGCTATCTCGCAGATCTGCAATGATATCACTGTAACTGAGGCAGGTGTCCAAGGTGTCATCCAGGAGATGACGAAACCAGCTCCAAAGAGCACGAAGCAAATTATCTGGTGTATGGCCTCGGTAGTAACTCGACGAGTTTGGGCATTTGCGTCGCTGGATTGTTGTCTTCTCAGCAGAGGCGCAGTCATGAGGAAGGCCCCGGGCAGCCCATGCAAGCCGAGTTCTTCAGAGACGACGGCACTGGAGATCACAACTTTCGCAAACAGGAGCATGCCTCACTCGCTGACAGCTCTCCCGGTTTACAGTACCCCTGGGCGAGGCAAGATCTAGACCGAGAACGATGTGGCATCAAGGACGGAAGGAAAAAATAGTCAAATGCCACTGGCTACGTAGTGCGACCAGAGGAGAACGGACCTTCCGGCACGTTGCGTGCCAGTGAGATGCTGTTTCTGCTCAAAGAGCATGAACCACGAACTGGTGTAACAGGTGATCATCTTCACAGCCACCCGAAATGAACTCTATTTTTTTTGATGCTCCCGGGTGGGGCAAAGCATGAACGAAGTCATGCTTCGGTGAGCTGATTTATCCCGCCTGTCTGAGCACCGAAGTACACTGCGAGCTGCGCCGGCGTCCGAAGAGACTCGATCTGACGACCTCGGCGCCCGTGGACAACTTTGCATTGTGGCTTCGCCAGTTTGCAGCAGGCAGCGTGAGAAATCACACGAAGGCCTAAGGCTGTAAGCAACCAGCATGGCAAGCCGATGCACAGGGCAGCCAGTGGGATGCAGACCTGTTCATGAAGGATGCTTTCTCACCTGGAGCCTAATAAGCCGCAAGCAGCCCTCTTGATTTCAGAGTGGCTCAGCCTCCTTGAACAATCTGTAGGTCGCCTCGTATGCGCTCGCGGAAACGACTCAGGGCAAGCGACGAGGAGGACGGAGAGATCTCAAGTGCAGTCCCAGCAGCCGGCGACGTCGCAGGGATATTGGCCACTGCACTCCTGGTTCACAAGCAGCGCCGGCAACCAGATGTTTAGAGACCTCTCTGCCCTGCAGCTTTACGAAAATCACAAAGCACGAGAGGACATGGTTCTGGAGTCAACTCAGCAGTACATTGCAGACCTTGTCTTCTCGAACAGAACCACAAGTGTCACCTCGGAGGTCAGGCCAACCATGTGGAGACAAGTGGGGGACATGCATACAACGAGAGACGGAAGCAGACCGTTCAATGCTGTGCATGCCTTTTGCATCCTTCCTTCATAAGTGCCCCAGGGCACCGTCGCAGCCAGTACAAGCCCACGCCCTGGCAACGAATGTGCACAAACATGCATAAACACCTTTAGCTTTCGGTTTGCAACCAGGGCTTCAAATGCATTCGTCGGTCCAAGTCTAGCAGCACACTGATCCAGTCATTCTGCTTGTAGCACGTGCAAGGCTTGCGTCGTTGGGGCCAGCGCTGGCTCCGTGCCACGAGCGTTGTGACCTGCAAGGCTGCGAGGATTTCTCGCCTCATAGAAATCTGGAAGGGCTGGTGCGAACGGCTTTCTTGAGCCCTCATGCGTCCACATGAGGCATCGGCCTTCATGGGCAATGGCTCAATCAAGCGCCGGAAGGAGCCATGACTGCAGATTTCTACCGAATGTCTCTTGCTTGCAAACAGTTCCGGCAGTCAGAAGCTGCGAGCACAACAGCTGATGATGCACTGCATGGTACGTGACGTCTGTGTTGGTGCTGCATGCGTGCTTGGGTACGCGTGTGGTTCCTGCTACCAACATAGCGAAGTAGAGCAGGATCAAGTGCATGACGGCTGCGGGACGACATTCAACAATTTCGTGGAGTGTCTTCGAGGGCAAGCATCCAAACCAACAAGTGCTCGTCATCTGGTTTGAGAGATGCGGTCGGCTGGCAGCACTTGCAGAACCATGGCAGCAATGACGGCTGGCCTGCTCCTTCGTCTGACTACTGCTGTGAAGATCCGCATACTGGGCCTGCGATTTCAACAGCCGCTCATCCTCTACACGACGAAGGGCCAGGGCCAGGGATGGGGATACATGCCGCAGTCGCACTACAGAACTAGAACCTCAAGCCTAGGGACAGAAGGGCCTCTTAACTTCCTCACAAAAGCGGACGGCGGGCAGTAGGAGCCTCGGCCGTCTGGGCTGCCTGTAGCTGCATCGTCTCCGACGCCCTGGCCTCCTCACCGTAAAATTTCTCGAAGCTGCGTTTTCCCGAAAACCGCTCTGAGGTTGGGTTCTCGTTTAGTGCTCCAACACGAGGTCCGCGATATCGGCCCCTGTCTTGACGGAAGAGCTTTAGAAGACTAAACGGTGCACGGGCCTTCATATCGGGTGCGCGGATCGGGTGCGCAGACGGTTCGGGTGCGCGTACGGGGTGCGCGGACAGTGAGCGGTGCCATGGAGGGCGGGGACAACGGGAGCGCGAAAGCGGGGGCGCGGACAGTGCGCGGTGGAGGGCGTGGACAAGGGGCGGGAGCGCGATATCGGGTGCGCGGTGGAGGGCGGGGACAAGGGGGGGGAGCGCGATATCGGGTGCGCGGACGGTGCGCGGACAATGCGCGGACGGTGCGCGGGGGAGGGCGTGCCATGCTGTGACTATATCGTGACCGAATGAATTCCTGATGCGGTTGCCCACTCCGTCCTGACGATTGGGATTGCAACCGGGACATGTGGTAGAGACTTTGTGTGGTAAAATAAGGTTGCTACATGTTACTACTTAGAACTTCGATCGGGAAATAGACGCAGCCATGCTTGGCCAGTGTGCTGACGTATAGGTACATGCATTCAGTGGGAGATGTGGGAGCCTTTGAAGATTGCTGGACGTGAGAAAAGATTCCTGCGGACTTCCATTCTGCCAGCATTCTCTTCGCCTGGGTTTTCGGGCTCCCGGCTTGACCTTGTTTTGGATTTCCAAGCGCGAATGCCTGCAAAGGCCTGTCCTCCGACTCGGCCCTCAGCACCTCCACCTGCTCCTGCGATGCCGGTCGAATGATGTTCTTCGCTCAGCTGGTTTAGCCAAAATCTGTTTTGTTTCGAAGACTGCAACATGCCTTCAGAATACTTTTACTGCACTGCAATTCATGCCTGTGGATTCGATAATTTCGATGCTCACAGACTATGCGATGTATCCCCACTTTGAAGAAGCTGCGCCTGCAAACTTCGTACTCGGCCCTCCAACAGAGCTTGGGCCACCTGCCAGTGGCGAGGTTCTTCCAGGCCGTGCTGGTGGCTCAAGGCTCAACATGACTGAACTGCTGGCCGAGGCGACTCAACATTGTACAGCTTGCTGTTGCCTCCACGCGGTCGTCCCGCTGCGTGGAACTGCTGAGCAACTCCTTTCGAAACTTTGCCGCAGCAGCTCGCGTATCTATAAAACTTCGAACACTTGCTACAAGAAGCCTTGGAACGGTGCATGGCTCCTGGCACTCGGCACGGGCTTGCTCCAGTTCCTTGCAGGTCTGGTTCATTCTGCACAATCTTCACACATGAACATTCTCTTAGCGCCCCCTACATGCCCGCGCGAAGTCCAGCGCGAGCACAAGCACAGTTGCGATTCGCAAGACGATGGCTTTATTTTTTCTTTGCTCAGCCCCATTACCTAATCTTCCCTGGGTGCCTTGGGATTCTTTGGGATTCACGCTTGCATTCCCTGAACTTCCTGAACTAGCTTAACTAGCTATCATTCAGTGCAGCCCCGGCGGCACGCTCTGCTCTGCGGCTGCGCTCGTTGGCTGCGCGCAGCTCTTGGCGGCTGCGGCCTTGAAATGAAGGACCACTGGCACACTACAGCACACGATGTCTGAACAGGGTTGACTGAACATGCTTCGATCAGTTTGACTAAGAGATGCGCTGATGCTGCCCTCCAACCTGGCACCATGAGCTAGCTAGCAACAGCCGTAGAACGGAGTATCTGACTCGACACCTATGACATGTTGCCATTCAATCTCAAAAGACTGATTTGCTCTCCAAGAAACTCTGACTGCTGCTGCTCAGCATTGACACGCTCTGCTTCGGCTGCAACCTCCACAGCGCCGAGGTGCTCCCTGCCCAGTTCGTCCGGACTGCTCGGACTGTGTGCAATGGACACCCTGCAGAGTTTTCTGCCAATCAAACAGGTAACAAATGTTCCTGCGTGAGCATCCCACGCGGCCTCAGTTTCGCTGCTTCAGCAGAGCTTTCCCGCACCAGCTCCGAAAGCATCTTCGCGCAGGGATGCTGAGGGCCAAGGGGAAGCTCCGTGCTATTGAAGGCTTTTACATGTACCATATACCCTATGCATGCATACACACATACATACATTCATACATACATACATATATACATACATATATACATACATACATATGTACATACATACATACATACATACATACATACATACATACATACATACATACGTACATACATACATACATACGTACATACATACATATATATATATACACACCTACGTACACACACACATATATATATATATAATTATATATATATATAATTATATATATGCTACCCCCCCCCTCAAAGATCTATGCTGTTTTACTCTTTGCTGTGTTTGTTTAGTCTTCGACAGTCTACCAACTATAACACGAAACAACAGCTTCTTAAACTTAGCACTCAAACCTTACACACCGAAAATCCCCTGGAAACCTAATCTCAAGCAGATAGCCCGAATGCCCCCTAACCTACAGCAATTAACCCGAAAGCCCCCTGAAAACTAATCCAAAACACTTCGCCCGTGCAACACTTAGCCCTGTTAAATTTCGCGAGCTCCTTGTGAAAGCTGTTTTTTCGAAATGGCAGGTGTAAATCGTTTCTGTGGGCTTAATTGGTTCAAATTGGGTTGTTAAAAACAGGAACTCACCATCGCAGATGATCTCATCCAAAGCACAAAGAGTATTATTAGGGCCATTGAGAGATTTCCCGTAAACAAAAAAACATTAAAGACCATGTCTAACCTTGCAAACACGAGCTCGGTCGGTCGGGGCGGGATTAGGCTTTTGAACATTGAGTTGTTCATGGGGTCTCTTGCGCATCAGAGAGTGCGTTTTTCAGCGGTCTTTTTCAAAAATAAGCGAAGCCAGACCGAAAAACCGGTGCGCGGACAATGGCTTCTGGGTGTTGGTGTGCCACGCCAGTCCATTGACCTGGGCTTCCGGGCCTTCCCCAGAGGACACACGCTTGATTTTTTATTTCGGGTTACAAAGAAAACCCACACCAATTTGTCTATCAATTTTGAGGAAATGTTCAGCGATTCGTCCATTTGTTGCTATAGGCTTCCATTGATTTTACGTTTTGACATCTATTGATTTCAATCGTGGTCTTTCTATTGATTTTTATGGATCTTCATTGGTTTTGTTTGCAAAAAATCTATGGATTTTATGAACAAGTTGATTTTAATGACGAGCTTCAAGCAACAATTCGGAGGCCCCAACTTGTTGACCCTAGACCCCTAGACCCGTAGACCCCTAAATCCTAATTCTCTAGCCACTTAAACCCTCAAACCCTTAAACCCCTAAACCCCTAATGAACATATTTAGGTCTGTTAAATCGGTTGGTGACCAGGGTTTCGTCTAGGGGATTGGGGTTTTAGTCTCTTGATACATCGAGAAGGAACATTTGCCTTGTGCAAACTTAAAACCTAAAACCTTCAGCGTTTAAGGCTTTAAGGGCATTGGGTTTTTGTGTTTCGTCTTGATTTCGGCGGTTAGGGGTTTAGGCGCTTCGGCGTTTCGGGGTTTTGGGGTTTCGGGCTTTATGGCTTTAGGGGGGTCTCCGGGTCTCCGGGACCCAAAGGGTTAAGGATTAGGGCTTAGTGGTTATTGAAGCACACCAATGGACCAATTCACAGAACTTCATGGCTTGTTAATGGTTGTTCATGCGTGAAGAACATGAACAACCATGAAGACACATGAAGGTCTGTGAATTGGTCAGTGGGTGTGCTTCAATAGCAACTATAAGCCCTGACCCACAAACCCTTAAAGCCTTAAACCCCTAAACCCCATAAACCCCCAAACCCCATAAACCCCTAAAGCCCAAGAACCCAAAACGCCTAGACCCCCAAAACCCCAAACCCCTGACCCCTAAATGCCAACACCCCAAAACCCCCAAACCCCGACCCCTGAACCCCTGGACCCCTGGCAGGCATAGTGTTCAAGGGAGCGATACCTGTTTCGGCTGGATTTCTGAATCCCCGCGGAAGGCCACATTGAAATATTGAGCCATATTGAATTTCAATATGGCGGAT